TGGGAGGGAGGAGAGGGGGTGTCTTCTAATCCGCACAGCCCCACAGCCCCCAGGGGAGGGGGGGCAGCAGGGGGGAGGAGGTGACAGCAGAGCAAGCAAGAGCTGCAGCAGCCACGACACTGCAGCAGTGCGGGATTCCTGGGAGCAGTGCCCAGCCCGGGCGAATGGCAGCAGCACCGGCGACTGGTGGTTGGAGCCTTGGGGGAAAAGGTCTTTGCCATGCTGGGGGAACCGCTGCGGCGGGAACTCCACCAAGACAGTGCCCTGGGGACACACAGTGCCAGGAAGCAGTGTCATCGCAGCGGTGCCGCTCTCCCGGGGTGCCCTGCCCAGCCCCTTGTTCAAGGGAGGATGCCCAACCTCCAGCCTGGCTCCTCTCTCCTCCTCCTCGCTGTGGCTCCTGGCTATGGCTCCGTCCCAATCTCTTATCCTGGCTTATCCGCCTCTGACCTCCTTTCAGGACAGTGCAGCTGATGTCAGGGATTTCAGGGTGGTTCTTTGCGCTGCTCAAAGGAGGGCAAATGCAGGGGGAATGCGGGCCAGTAACACAAATGGAGAAAAGGGTTTAAAGGACTAGAGGGAAGAAGGGATCAAATGATGGGGTGGGGCTGGCAAAGCCGTATTTGGGCTGGCAAGGCTGTATTTGGGCTTGTCATTTGGCTTCCTTGGAGCTGGCCCTAATGGGCAGGTGGATATGGGCAGAGGGATGTGACCGCGGACAACATGAGCACGTAAGCAGAGAAGCACCGCATCTGGCACGTGTCTTGCTGTTCAGTGAGCACTTTCATTTTCCTCTGGCCCCCACGGAGGCTGCTGGGGCATGGCCAGGGCACTGCTGCAAAGGAAGCTCACGGCTGCACGGGCACAGCTCTGGAGGAAATTCCTGTGGCGTGTGCCAGATGGCATGAGGAGTGCTGCCAGAGCGGCTGATGGGGGATCCCAGCCCAGATGGACATGGTGGAGAGCCCTGGTGTCCCTGACTGAAACTCCCTGGTACAGGAAGCCCTTGCTTGAAACTTCAAAGCAACCTGATTTCTTCACACTCTTGTGATTTCCACCCACCCCTGGCAATGGGGTTGAGAGCCGACTCTGGCTTCCCCCAGCCTGTTTCTCAGCTCTCCTCAGTGCTGTGACGTGCTCTTTGCAGCACTCCCCCTCACCGCACCCCCACACACACCATGCAGAGCCCCTGTGCTGCCCATACCCCTGCTAGAGGCTCACACGTGCCACCATGGCATGGTTCTGGATGGGGCCCTGTGCTCTCCCTGTGCCTGGCCTCTGCGCTGAGCTTTGCGTGGGTCTGGCCCTGCTCAGGGTTGAGTGAATCATCTCGGGGAGGAAAATCTGACAGGGCTGGGGGCATAGGGTGACACTCACCTTGCTGCTGCTCCCTCTCCGGGGAGGGGGGTTGCAGCTCCCCAGCATCATACAGCCCCATGGCCAGGGGAATAAGGTGGGATGGGGGGAGCGGGTAGTTATTTTGGACCCCCTAGGGAGCAAACTTCAGCAAGAGAAGCTTTCAAATGGCTGTCCTCACCCACCAGCCTGTTTTCCGCTTCAGGTTTAATCAGGCGCCCCAAAATACCAGGTTTCCTCATCTGACAGAGATGCCTCCCAGTCTCATCTGCTTCCGCATCTCAGGAGCAGAGCAGAGGGCTGGGAGCTGGGCCCAGCTCCTGTGTTCGGGCAGAGCTGGGTCCCCCCTCCCTTCAGAGCCCTTTCTCCCATGTTAGAGGTGCTGCAACCCTCAGCAAGATGGCTCCTCGAGCTGCTGGCCTCCTCCACGTTCCGGTTGTCTCAGCACAGCCTGACCTGGCAGCTCATTGGGGTTATGGGAAAGCTGAGCTGGGCACTCACCTGGGGTGGGGAGTATCTGGGGATCTACAGAAGCTGGGCTTGGGAGCTCCCCTCTGCCATGGGCTGAAGAGGGGCTGAGGGTCACATGGACCTGCCATCCCCTGCCCTGGCTGGTTGCGCCCCAAGCAGCCGCTGCTCGGCTGGCGCCCTGCCCACTGCATATGGATGTGGCAGTCACTCGCTGTCTGGCCCTAGTAGGGACCGTCCTCGCCTCCCGGCAAGGAGATAGGAGATGCTGGGACCCAGTGTCCAGTCCCTGGGGCCGGGGCCAGGGGCACCTCCCAGCTGCACCAGCTGATCCCTCTCCCTCTCTGCTGGCCGTAGGTGCTGTCTCACCCTCCCCATCTCTACCACCCAGGCTTGTATCAGGAGCCATGAAAAGGGGCAGCGCTCATCCGTGGCAGAGGGAGAGAGAGCTCCCAGTTTATCTGCATCAAAGGGATGGAATAAATTAAAATAGATAACCAGTTCCTGGACAAAATGTGGGTACATTCCCACAATCTGGGTTTTAATAACAATTTCTAAATTTCCTTCAGCTAGTAGTTTTAGCTCCAGCTCCTAAGGTTGCTCTTTCTTGAGCTCCCTTCTCTCTGTCAGTGTCTTGTCTAGACATTAGGTGAGCAGCATATCCTGGGGCCTCTCAGAACTGAATGTGTCCTGATTCTGTCCTCTCTTCTTCACAGACTCATCATGGCAGTCGAGAGGATCCATGCCCGCGAGATCCTGGACTCCCGTGGGAACCCCACTGTTGAGGTGGACCTGTACACACAGAAAGGTACATGGATGAGGATGAGAGATGGAGGGGGGGATCCTGCCGACCCTGGCAGAGCAGGCACTGCATGGTGGCCTGGCACACTCTGCTGAGAGCATTCTTCTCCAGTGAACCCCTAGCAGACAGCAAGCCAGGGGAAGAGGCAGAGACATAAACTCTGGTTATGTATCTGACTTGAGCTGTGTGCCTGTTGGTAGCAGGGACTGAAAGTTTCATTAACATAAATATATTTACCTTCTTGTTATATCCCCACAATGCCCTGCTGCAGCTGTGCTTGTAGTTCTGGGACACAGTACAAGCTTGGAAACACATCCATGCTCATGGGATGGGAGAAGGTTTGTCCCCAAGATCTCTGTGCAGGCATGTACATGCAGTGACTCAACTGGAAGAACTGCATCTGCTCTGGGCCCAAAGCAAGGTGTGCCGAGGGGTGAGGAGCAGTGAGGGGCCAGAGCGAGCATCCGACCAGTCTCTTCCTTCTCCACCAAGGCAGAAACTCAGCCCCAGTCTGAGGAGGAGGAAGCCACTGGTGGCTGTGGGTCAGGATGCCTCTGGAACCAGGAGGAGAGCTGAGGAGCCAGACTTCCACCCATCATCTGTACTTCTGGGATCAGGGTGGACCTCTAGGTGCCTGAGATCCTGTTTTCTCAGTCTGGAAGCCCTGGGTGCATTTATTTCTGCCACCCTGGTGCTCCACCTCTGAAAAGACCAGCCATTAGCAGCCAGGCAGCAGGGCTGTCTGTTTGCACAAGGAATTGTCACCTCCTTTCCCACAAAAGCAGGACAGTAGCAGGTGCATGAGGGTTTTTCTCCCCTTTTCACCCTCTGCTCATTTCACACCCGTGTTTTGCTGTTTCCCAGGCATGTTTCGAGCAGCGGTCCCCAGCGGCGCATCCACTGGCATCTACGAAGCACTGGAGCTGAGAGACAATGACAAGTCACGTTTCCTTGGAAAAGGTGGGGAGATGCCTGCTCCACACCCTGTCCCCAGGGTTGCCTGCTCATGGGGCTTCGCCAGAGGGTACTGCTCATTCGCTGGTGTGACGCGGATCTGTCCCACTTCCCTCAGGGAGACCACAGAGGCACAGACCTAGCGGAAAGTGAAAGATCAGGCTTTGATCTTCCCTTGCTGTCTCCTTCTCTCAGTCTCTCTATCGATCCTCTCCCTTCCTCTTTCCACTCTCTTCTTTGCCTCACCCTCTCTCTCTCCTTTTTTCTCTGTCTCTTCCCTTCTTTAGGGGTCCTGCAGGCCGTGGATCATATCAACAGCACTGTCGCCCCAGCTCTCATGGGCTCTGTAAGGATTTCTCTTTGTTCTCCCTTGTCCAGTGCTTACTCTAGTCCATCTCTGTCCCCCAATCTCTGCTTCTGCCTCTCTTCATCTCACTGGGTTAACAGACATAGTGATGCTCTCTGTGAACCTGGGCACACCCCTCCTGCCCTCCACGTGTGTGTATGTCCACAGCAATCTTTCCTCTGGGCGGAAAGGATTTAACGCTACCTGGTCTACCACAGCCTCTGTACCACCTAACTAGTCCCCTCGATGCTCCCCGTAGAGCTCTCTCCCTCTTTCAGATGTGCTCCTCCTCAAGCACCGAACCTCATCCACACATCTGTGGCCTCACACCCCAGCGTTCGTGGTGTGATGAGCAATGATTGTACTGTGCAAGGTCTGGCAGCCCCCCCAGTGCAGCACTGAAGAGCAACGGTGTCACATATGCAGCCTGTTTACATGTGAAGATCTGGAGCCTGCTCCGAGGAGAGATGAGCTGAAGCCACGTTACACCCTGTGCAGCCTGTGAGGGGGGGTTCTGGCTGAAAGCCCAGCTCTCTCCACCCCTGAAAAGTACCCGGCCTGGTGGAGAGCTGCCTATGTTGGGCCTAATCATACTCTCCACCTCAGTCCC